GGATCCATAAGGAAGCAGCAGTCATGTAATCAGTGACATATTACATTGGGCAAATGTGCTACAAAAGATCTCTTTGAAGTGCTTGAAAGCAAAGATGTCACTTTAAGGATTAAGGAACCTTAACCCAAGCTGTGGTATTTTCAGTTGCCTCATATGCATGTGAAAGTTGGACAATAAATAAGGGAGACCAAAGAAGCACTGGTGCATTTGAATCAATTGTTGGTGAAGAATATTCAGCATACTGTGGACTGCCAGAAGAACAAACAAATCAGCCAGAATTCTCCTTAGAAGCAAGGATGGCAAGACTTCATCTCAATTACATTGGACATGTTATTAGGAAGGATTAGTCACTGGAGAAGGACACCATGCTAGGCAAAGTAGAGGATCAGTGAAAAAGAAGAAGACCCTCAATGAGGTGAATCAACACAGTGGTTACAACAATGGGCTCAAACACAGCAACAATTGTGAGGCTGGTGCAGGACTCTGGGCATTTTCTTGTTGTGCATGGGATCACTATGAGTTGGAGTCAACTCGACAGAACCTAACAGCTCTATGAATACAATTCTATAGATTCTGCTTACGATTGTGGTAGATTTCTTAACAGTTCTACCTTGCTTATTGTCAACTAGATTCCAGAGGGCTTCCTCCTTCCCCCACAATTAGGTCTTTCTCATCCTGTTCTTGTTATCTAAACATAAAACCAATATATAAATAGACATCTGTTGTTTTTCTCTGCCTACTGCTCCTTCTTTTGGGGAGCTACTCCTTTCTCATCAGCTGTAGCTCTGGTGAGGCTGTCAGTATCTTGTCTCAGTATCTTGCCCTGTCTCTTCTACAGGGATGGACATGTGAGCAAGCTTGATGACTCATACCACCTTGTATCCCTGGCAACAGTGAAGCATACACTGAAGAATCTTTCTCTGTAATTGAATAACAACAAATTCTCTTTTGCTGGTTGTTTCCAGCTAACAAAATATACACTTTGGGCTACAAGCAGCATTTGCAGAAACCAGTCCCTGATGGTGAGAACAGATGTATGAGACATCAATATAAGAAGAAATGAAGTCCCAATGATATTGATTGATCCCTGAATCAAGCTCTGCCTGCTAATATCCTTTATTTAAGCTAGTTTGTAAGTTTTTTGTTTGTTTTTGTTTTTCCCTACTTCCAAGCGGATAATCATAATCCCTTTAAAAAATCGGAGAAAAGTAAAAAACAAGCAAATCATTCCTAATCCTATCATTTAATTATACAAAAAATTGGGAATATACCTTATCAACGTTTTTCTTTGAGGTTGTGTGGTGGCTTGCAAAATATGCCCACAAATTCCTCCATCTAGTATGCATGCTCCTTTGCAATGTGAGTTTGCTGAAGAAATAGGGTTTATTTCCCTACTCCTTGAATCTGAGCAGGAGCTCTGGTGGTGTAGTGGTTAAAGCATTTGGCTACTAACCAAAAGATAGAACCCACTAGCCACTCTATGGGATTCCATAAAGATTTACAGCCTTGGAAACCTGAAGGGGCAGTTCTGCTCTGTCCTAAAAGGTTGTTGAGTCAGAATCTACTCAATGGCAGTGGGTTTGGTTTGGTTTTGGTTGACTCTAAGCTAGTCTTTTGACTTGCTTGGAGCATTAGAATACAATAGAAGAGATGTACATAACCTCCAAGGCTTGGCCTTGAGAGGCCTTCCAGCTTCTGTTTTTACCCTCTTGGAAGAAAGTTTTGTATAAGAAAGCCTGTCTAGCCTTCTGGAGGAGGAGATCACAAGGGGGAGAAATAAGAAAGCCCAGCCCACATTCAGCTCCAATGCCAGGCATGTGAGTAAGGTCATCGAGAAGGAACCAACTCAACTCTCCTTCCAGCTGAATGCAACTATATAAAGAGCCCAAATGAAACCAGCAGAGGGATTGCCTAGCTAACCCACAGAGTGAGGAGAAATAATAAAATGCAGTTGTTTTAAACTACTAAGTTTTGAGGTAGTTAATTATGCAGCAAAAGTTATCTGAAATCGATTGTGACCTGCAATTTTCATATAGTTGCATATCACCATTTTTCCATGGTATTAAGTATCTACTATGGTTCTTTTCCACCACTCCATCTGTTTGTAGTAAAGTGGTGGCTTGCATGATACTTGGATGCAAGAAGTATTTTAAATACTGGGTCACTGGTATTTTAAATAGCAGTGTCACCCATGGTGGGCAGGTTTCAGTGGCGCTTTCAGACTAAGAAAGACTAGGAAGAAAAGCCTGGTGATCTACTTCCAAAAATTAGCCAATTAAATCCCTATGGAATTCCATATAGTGGAATACTATATAACACTAAAGAATAATGTAAACTCTGCAAAACATTTCATAATGTGGATGAACTTGGAGGACATTATGGTGAGTGAAATAATTCAGTTACAGAAGGACAAATACTGTATTAGTCCACTATTGTAAAAAGTCAAGGAAAGGTTTATGTATGGAATGAAAAAACAAAACAAAAAACAACCCCTATAGATCACAATAGAATATTGGCCAACAGAGTGATGGAAGATGAGCCCACTATGTTGGAACCAAGCCAAACCAAATGCACTGCCACAGAGTCAGATCCGACTCATAGTGACCCCTCCTTGGGTTTCTGAGGCAGTATCATTACGGAAGTAGATTGCCCAACCTTTCTTCTGAGGAGTGGCTGGTGGATTTGAACAACCAGCATTCTGGTTAGCAGTCAAATGCCTTGGGCACTATGAAGGCACTCAAAACATACAGTGGCTACAACAATGAATTGCAGAACAACAATGTACTCTAGCATACCAATCAATGATCATGAGGATGGTGCAGGAGCAACACTTCCTTCTGTTGTGCACAGAGTCACCATGAGGTGGATCAGATTAACTGGCAAGAACAACAGCAAGCTTCTTTTGGTTGTAAACATCACCCTGGCCAGCTTAAACAAAAGGAGAATACATTGGAATGCTCCTGGGACACCTCAGAACAGAAGGTAAAGTTGGGAGAGGGAGGGAGTCAGGTTTACTAAGGGGCTGTCAGCAGCAGCACCAGGGAATTCTCTCCAGAAACCTCGTCAACACCATCCAGGGCCCAGGACGTCCGGACTGTTTCTGGACGGCTAACTTTAAGTACTCAGAACAGAACATCTGACCTGTCCAACTTGGGTCAATGTCCACCTCAGCACCATTTCACAATAAAGGGTGGGGAGACAACCACAGAGACAGAAGTGAAAAAAAGCAGTCGAAGCCGTGGAAATCCCAGTGGGGAAGGCAAAACCAGGGTGACTTATTCACGGCCTAGGCCTGCTCTTTAACAGCTAACCAAAACTAAACTCACTGCCCTTTCATCGATTTGGCTCATAGCGACCCCTCCTTGGGTTTCCGAGGCTGTATCTCTACTGAAGTAAATTGCCCATTCTTTCATGTTTTAAATATTTTCAAATCTTTTTGGAGATACTGTATCAAGATGCTTCTTAAAAAGGAGGAAGAATTAGGAAGGGACCACTTTTGAAACAGTAACAACATAGGGCAACGTTGTATACTTACACACAACTCAATTGAAATGTACGGTTTTAGTGCAAAAGGGGTCGCGGAGTGAGCTGCACTGCAGTTTAAAATAATACTTTAAAATAAGTTTGGGGTGCAGGCAAGAAAGGAGTGTAAAACATGAAAAGGAGTTAAAGCCAGAGTGAACAGAGAGGAAGGAAACTAGGGCTGAACGGTAGACTTTGAGTGGCTTCTGTGAAACGCGATCAGCCGCAAATTCTTCAGATGAGAACACTGACAGAGGTCGCTCCCGGCCGCAGATTGAGGGTCGAGGGATTACATAATTCATTGTGGATGGCAAGCCGATCCCAAGACGCCCGAAGTGGATCAGGGACAGTGCAGCATCACCCTCACTTTGACTGATACCTCCGGCAGTGTGATGGGATGCCTCGGGCAGCGCCTACTGGGGCTTAAAGGGGAACGAAAACCTCGAATGTGCTCGCCAGGGACTTTGGCCTGGGACCCCTAGACCTGACAGACCGTCTGCACTCAGGTGCGCGCGCTCCTCACCATTAAGGCAGCCACCAAGACAAAGCTGCCGCCCCCAAGGTGGGGGCTGGGGGCCGAGGAAGCGCGCGGAGGGAGGCGTTTGTTCGCAGAGGGATTTAGGCGGCGCTTTTGCTCTCAGCTGCAGCAGAAACATCTGCCACCGCGCCGCGCCGTCAGCGACATCTTGCTCTGGAGGAAAGCGATGGGGGAGCGCAGGCCGCGCTGAGCTCGTGCTCCCCGCGCGCAGCGGCCGGGGCCTGCTGGATCCAGCGCGGGCGCCCACGGGACTGGTGCTGGAGCCGGAGCCGGAGGAGGAGGAGGTAATAGCTGGGCTGTCCGGTTCCCGCCCGCTCCCCTCCCTTCCCCCGCCCTAGCTCAGAAGGACGCAACAGAGGCCTTAGAGACTCCCTGCGACGTCCTTTCCCGGCCCCGCCACTCCCGCCCCCAGGGACCTTTCTCCTCCACTTCCTCCGTCCATCTGGGTCTGCACCCTAAGCTGCCTGCACACCTCTGGCCGCCCCCGCGGCCTCGGGCTCTGGTTCTCTGCTGGGCTCCCGAGGTAACTGGTCCACCAGTGGCGGCCCCCGCCCGCGCCTCTCTGCTGGGAGCCTGCCTCCCTTGGCTGAACCCCGCCCGCCGCGCTCGGACTGGGGGTTGGGGGACGTGGGCGGGGCCGGCCGGTGAGGGCGAGCACCTCCAGCTCCCGGCAGGCTCCGCCCCGGTACTCCGCCCCGCCCGCGCCGCCGCGCCCCCGCCCCCCTGGCCCGCCCCGTTAAGGCGGGGCCCTGGTTTTAAATGTCGCGGCGGGAGCCAGCCCGGCCTGGCAAGGGGCGGGGCTGCTTGTCCAGTCCTCTCCTTCTTGTTCAGATCCTTTAGGTGGTGGCGGCTGCGGCTCGAGCTGCCCGACAAGGAGCAAGGGCTAGCGGAGCGCGCTTGGACTCTAGGTGGGCGGGCGGAGCCACCCTGGCCGGGGACCATGTCCCCTGGGAGCAAGGTGAAGAGCGAGTACATGAAGCGCTACAAAGACCCCAGGTGGGACATGTATGGGCCCTGCTACCGCGAGCTGCTGCACTACCGCCTGAGCCGCCGGCTGCTGGAACAGGCGCACAATCCTTGGTTTTGGGACGACTGGGGCCCGGCCAGCTCCTCGGACGACTCGTCGTCGTCGTCAGGCGGCGGGGGCTCCCCGTGTCCGGAGCCTACGGGCGCCCCGGCACTGCCCCCACCTCCCTCTCCACCCAGGCCAGCTGCGCTGGAGGGCCCTGACCGGCCCGAACGCAGCGCTGCACGGGAGTTGGAGGCCTCGGAGGACACTGACGCCCGCGCCGCGGGTCTTTCAGGTACCGAACAGGGAGAGGGAGAGACAGGAGCCGGGTCTGGGCAAGGACCCGTACGCTTACTTCCTAGGGACTGCATTTACTCTGAGGATCTTAACTTTCCACCTCGTTGTGTCTTGCAGTGCGCAGGGGCGACTCTCCTATTGTTTTTTGTAGGCTGAGAATCCGCCCCTTGACCCGTAGTTAGGTTGCTCTGGGCTGGGCCAGCAGTGAATTTAGGGAAGTGCCGCTGTCGAAATCTGGGGTCTTTACCCAAGGCCAGGAGGCTTCGAACGTTTCTAAGCACCCATTTTTGATGAGAGCCCCAGCTTTCATCAGATTCTCAAAAGTTACCCCAGAGATTAAGAACCATAGAGTAAGCTTTCTGTCTTATGAATGAATGGGACTGTTGTTTCTGTATGAACTCTCTGACCTCACTGGCAGTCCCTAAGGAACGTTTTGCACTTGTTTACGCAGATTGTTGTGTAACTTCTGGTTGGCGGGAGAATGAATATTCCTTTTAAGTGCTGGGTCCTCACTGCTTCTTGCCCACCCTAGTCTTCCTGCACTCAGCAAAAAACATCTGGTGAGGTCCAGGAGCTGGAGCTAGAAGATGACTCTTGGCACTATGCATCCCTCTCCTGCTCAGCCATGGCCTACTCTACATCTTCCTGTTGGAGGGGTTCGCAGCTGGGGACTGTCAGCTTGGGAGGCTGGGTGGATGCTGTATCTGAGGGCTGAGTTGAGTTCCTCAGAAACAGACTAATGAACAGTTCCATCTTGCTACTCCAACTCTTTGGCCAGACCTGCCACAAGGCCACTCCGATTTTAAAGAAGCTCTGCTAAGAGTAATCACTAAATGTATTAAGATACATCCAGCCACGGATCTAAGAATATATAGTTTCTCATTTAACATTGAAGACAATCCTAAAAGATAGATATAATTTTTATCTTAATTTTATATATGAAAAGATGGAAGCTCAGAATGAATAACCAATAACTTTCTTTTTGTTTGTTTACCCCTTTTGAGAGCAGATAAGATTCTTTTCCTGGTCACTGTGAGAGGATGAGGAGGAGAGGGAATTTAGAATATGAACCAGTCTATTTTGCTGTTGGTTATATTGTCTTTAGCTATTCTCAATTTCTTATCTGTGGCCGTGATGCCTTCTTGTTATCATAGGTTGCCTGTGAATACCCACAAATTCCTCATGCTTCAGTGATCATTTGATGTTGTTGTTGTCATGTGCCATCAAGTCGGGTCCGACTCATAACGACCCCTCCTTGGGTTTCCAAGGCAGTATCACTACAGAAGTAGATTGCCCAACTTTCAATAACAGAAGGTGGAGGGAGAGGGAAACATGTCTTCTAAATAATTCTTGTGGGTGCCGATCTCCTAGCTAAATTTATGAGATATACTTTGTCAGGCTGAATGGGCTTTTCTCCTCTTCCCTCTTTTCCCTTTCATTGTTTATGAAGGAGCTATGAAATATCTGAGTGCATAAAAAGTAAAAATTTTAGAAAGCAGTGTAGTATATTTGGTGTTGTGTTTACCTGTTCAAGTATGCCCCGAGACCATGGTTATTTGCGTTTCCTTAGAGATATTGAATCCTCCCAGTGGCTAGCGTTGCTATTTCTTCTCTGCTAGTCACTTAACAAGTTGGATTGACAACAGTAGCTGCAACAATGGGTTCAAACATAGCAACCATTGTGAGGATGGCGTAGGACCGGGCAGTGTTTCATTCTGTTATAATTTATGGTTGCTGTGAGTCAAAGCTGACTCCATGGCACCTAACAACAACACCAACAACAGTATTTTCAGGCTGAGACATCAGGGAGAAGAAAAAGTATGTTTTCTGCTTCCAGGATTCACAAGCTCAGGAGCTTATGCTTTGCCCCTGCTTCCCAGAATCCCTGTTTCTCTTGGGCAGTTCTGAAAATCCTTATGTTTAAGTGGATGGGTTTATATATTAGAATGATGAACATTCTTGAGTTTCTGTAAAATACAAAAATTTGGTTCTTATTTTTACTGAAGTCATACATGGCACAGAGAATCATACAGTACTATATGGTTTATCACAAAAGTGTGACAGCTTCCTCTCCACCCCATACATTTACAAATACACATACATACTCATTGTCTATGTCATATGTAGCAACTTCCAACTCTACTCTTCTGCTTGTTTCTTTGATATTTATTTTATATCTCTATATAACATAGGAGCTCTGGTAGCATAGTGCCTAAGGCACTTGCCTGCTAACCAGAAGGCTGGCTGTTCAAACCCACCAGCCACTCCTCGGAAGGAAGGTTGGGCAATCCTACTTCTGTAGTGATATCACCTCGGAAACCCAAGGAGGGGTCGCTATGAGTCAGGGCCAACTTGACGGCACATTAACAACAACAACATATAACATGGCTTTTTTTAATACTTCTTGATTCTGTTTTATGGCATCATTTACTTACTTTTTTTTTCACTACTCTCCTAACCATGCATATTTCCCATCCCCACACTTTCTCAATACAATTACCATAGTGTTAGATTAAAAATTAGTATTTTGTGCTATAGCACAGTGTTGTGTCTATGGAAAGAGATACACAGAAGTGGTCCATATTGCTTATCATGACTCCTTTCTCTTCCTTTCATAATGCATTCAACATAGCAAGCACACCATCAGTCTCATCATCTTAGAGACATCCTAAGAGCACTGGTGGTGCAAATGGCTAAACACTCAGTTACTAATCAAAAGGCTAGGCAGCTCTGGTAGCATAGTGCCTAAGGCACTTGACTGCTAACCAGAAGGCTGGCAATTCAAACCCACCAGCCACTCTTCGGAAGGAAGGTTGGGACATTTATTTCCATAGTCATACCATCTTGGAAGCCCAAGGAGAGGTCACAATAAGTCAAGTCTGACTCGAGGGCACATAACAACGAGAAGAAGCAGTTCTGTGGGAGAAAGACATGGCAATCTGCTTCTGTAAAGACCACAGCCAAAAAAACCCTATGGGGCAGTTTTATTCTGTCAAATGGGGTCTCCATGAGTAGAAAACAGCTCTACTGCACCTAACATCAACAACAGAGACATCCTTCCTTGTGATTCTGACCTATTTAATTCAGGACTAGTTGCTACTTGTTAGGCCTGCTGCCAGGCTGGCATCTTGGGAGATCCCTTTACTGCCAGCTCAGAGACCTTTCTTGTCTCTTGGGTAAGATCATCTATTTTGTGACTCTCATTTCATTGTCTTTCTTAGTTTACTTCCTTTTGTAGGGCTTATCTTTTTTAGTAGCTTCCTGAAAAAGGATATGTGAGAGATTAATATTCTGAGATCTTGTGTGCCAGAAGGTAACTAAAAGATAATTATTTTGCTAGCATGTGATATTAATGACATTGTTGAGTAATTCTGTATTCTGTTTGATTGACTTTCTTTGAAATGGGTACACATATAGGTCTCTTCTAATCTGTTGACCAGATAGCTGTCTTCCAAATTTCTTACCATAGACAAGTATGAGATACCTCTATTGGTATTCCGTCATTTCCTGGAGCCTTGCTTTTTGTCATTGCCTTCAGTGTTGCTTTACTTCTTAATCATATGTTACTTCCTGAAATGGCTGAATATCAACCAATTCCTTTTGGTATAGTGACTGTTTATTCCTTCTGTCTTCTTTTTTGATGATTTCTAATTTCTTAAATTTTTTGCCCATGAAATCCTTCAATATTGCAACTCAAGTGTTGAATTTTCCTTTCAAATGGCAGTCATGTTCTTTCCTTTTAGTTTTCTAACTCCTGATCTTTGCATATTTTATTATAATACTTTACTGTGTCTTTTTTTTTTTTTTTTATTAGAATTTGGGTGAAGATTTACAGA